ATGGAGGCTCTAGTGGGAGAGGAAGGCTGTCTATCTGACGAGTTTATATCCTTCCTTTTAAGGAGATATCCACAAGTTTATTATACGGTCCACCCATGGCCTGCTTATTCAATCTGTGAAACTTTTGTTTGGGTTTGGGATTTTAAAAAATATTTTATTATCTATTTATTTATTTATTTATTTATTTATTTATTTATTTTTGGCCTTTTTGAGACAGGGTCTCCCTGTAGCCCTAGCTGTCCTGGAACTCACTACGTAGACCAGGCTGGCCTTGAACTCACAGAGATCCGCCTGCCTCTGCCTCCCGAGTGCTGGGACTACAGGCGTGTGCCACCATGCCCAGCATCTTTTTATTTTTAAAGGTTTATTTTATTTTTAGTTGTGTGTATGTGTGTGCATCTGTATGTGGGCATGTCCATATGAGTGTAGGTGTCTGCCAAGGCCAGAGAGGGCATTGGCTCTCCTGGAGCTGGTGATTATGATTGAGCCACCAGATGTGGGTACTAGGTACTGAACTTGGGTCTTTTGTAAGAACAGTACATCTTCTTAAGTGCTGAGCTATATCTCCACATAATCTTGGTTTTTGAGATAGAATCTCATACTGTCTCCCAGGATGACCTGGAACTGGTTATATAGCTCAGGCTAGCAGTCTTCCTGCTTCCTGAATGCTAGAATTAGAGGCATGAGCCACCATGCCTTTCTTCAGTCTGACATAATTTTAATTTCTAAGATTAAAATTGTGTCTGTCTGTCTCTCTCTCTCTCTATGTATTTAAAACAGAAGGAAATACACCCTCATTGGTTGAGGACAGGGAAGAGAAGAAAGCTCTTTGTGGCTCAAGCCCTTCCAAACTCCCGTCTTTCCCTCCACTATGTCCCGGGTTTTGGGCAGTGTACAGGCTCTCACCTGACCTTGACTAAAATAGAAACTTAAAGGGACAGAAGTCATGCATGTAACCTCTACCTTTTAATTGCTCATTTGACTTTGTCTCATTATAGTTCTTTTAAATAGTCTTTTGTGCCAATTGATAGACACTTTCTGAAAATAGTTTTCCAGGGAATGGATGATAGACCTTGACCACCACAGGTTGTCTCTGTCTGGCAGACTGTTAGGCAGTGAGGTGGGTGTGCTTTCTAGTTGGGTTTGTTAAGATGACAATATAGCAGGATTCCTCTTTTTAATTTTCTCTACTCCCTCTTTCTTCAGGTTAATATATAATGAAAGTAGAGTGAGATGTTGTTAAGGAGTGATTGATTGCATAGAATCTGCTTTCTCATTTCCTCTTGCCCATATTGTGGTTGGAATACACAGGGAAATAATTTACAACTGGTTGTTTATGAATGCTTACTGGATGACTCATTTGAGGCCTGCCTTACTAGCTGTAACCCAATATGTCAGACTGGTTTTTTTTTTTTTTTTTTTTTTTTTGTCTTTTTGAGACAGGATCTCTCTGTAGTCCCAGCTGACCTGCATTCACTATATAGACCAGACTGGCCTTGAACTCACAAGGATCCACCTGCCTCTGCCTCTGCTAGGATTAAAGGCGTGCGCCACCACGCCTGGCAAGACTGGGTATTTTATAAAAGAAAGTAGTTTATTTATCTCACAGTTATGGAGGCTAAAGGTCTACAATTTGGTGGTTGCTTCTGGTGATTGTGATGCATCATAACGTGGCAGAAGGGCAGAAGGACAAGCAGGTGTGCACAGAAGAGGCAGCCTCATTTTAGAAACAGCCCACCTTTGGAAGTCACTAACTCAGTTCCTTAAGTGTAGGATTAATCCCTTCATTCGGGTTTAAACACTTCATAAAAGTCCTACCACATCTCCATAGTATTGCACCGGAAACCAAGTTTCAGTACAAGTATTGGAGGTGGCAAACCATATCAGGACCACGAAGTTCACTGGTAAGGGTAACTGAGCTCTCCTTGTAGGTGGTAGTTTGCTATAATGTCCATAATAGCCCCATAAGGGAATGAGTCATTTTGTGTGTTGCCCTTTACTTGTCCCTCTAGAAGGTGCTATCTCAGCACCTGAGATTAGGTGAGAGGCTTAACTATGTAGGTATTTGCAGTACTAATCACACCACACTGAATTTATGGAAAGCAGCAGCCGTACCATAATATATATTAGGTAAACACCATAGAACTAGGCACATGTAGGTTCTCAGTATTTGTTGATTGACAGGAAGGTGAGGTTACTATCAGAAATTGTTGACTGATGACACTTCATGTTTATCAGAGAAACAGAATGGTTGTTACAGATGCTAGGAGATGAGGGAGCTGTGAAGACGTTGGTCAAAAGTCCAATTTCTGTTAGGAGAAATAAGCTCAGAAGATCTATTGTATGCCATAGTGATGATCAATAATAATAGATTGTATACTTGAAAACCACTAAGGGAGTGGATTTGAAGTGTTCTCATCACAAAAGAATAATATAATATGTGAGGTAATGATATGTCATATAGTTCAAGCTAGTCATTTCGTAGTGTATGCTTGTATTAGATTATTATGTTAGCCACTGTAAACATGCCATTTTTGTCAATTAAGATATAAAAATGCAAAAAAGAATAACCAGCTTCTCATTCATATGGTATATAAATGGCGTTAATTGCTATATATGTAAAGTGAAACTGTTTCTATAAATGACTATTCACTGGAACTGGTTTTAATGTTCCAGGGGTGTGTTCGCTGCTTTTCTGTCAGTATTCATCGCCATACCAAATTTTACACAGATCCAGTGGAAGCTGTCAAAGACATTCCCAATGGTGCAACATTGCTGGTTGGCGGTAAGTAACAGTATTAATGTTCCTAAATCATAGCAACAGAGCTATGCACATTAGATGTGCCAGTCATCTTATTTAGCTCTTACTCATTTACGATCTTATTTATTACACATCGTAGTAACTATTTATTATAGTCTCATCCTGAAATGTTTAGCAAGGTTTAACAAGCATCAGCCTTTTCCTTTCCCTTTTTTTTTTTCTGATTATTTTTGAAAAGCCAAAAGTTAAAGTGCTGATGTCTTAACAGGAGCTGCAGTGAATCCCTAGATCCTTGGGAATTTTGTTTAGCTTGAAATAAACTTTCCTCATCTCATTAGGTACCTTAGCCACTTGTATGATTCCTTATTTGTTGAGTTGCAGAGCACAGCAACATCTCTGTTGTTGAGATCCCAGTATTTTGTTTTTCGTACTTCTTTGGAATGTCATTTATAATCACTGCTTCAGACTTAAAATTTTGATTCTTATAAATGGCATTAAGACTTGAGTTAGGACTCCTTTCCATCCATTTATTCAGTTGGGAAATTATTGAATGTCCATTTTAAATCCAACACTCTGAGGAATTTTGAAGATATAAAGAAATGAAAGTTACTGGCTTGGGATCTAGTTCTGCAAAATCTTCTCAGATGACTAAAAAAGAAATGTGCTTGAATAAGTAACTGTATAAGGGTTGAATTATAAAGTGGGACAATGACAAATACATCATCTATAAACTGATTGCACTTGGCTTTATACTTAGGATTTAGAAGCCTCACAAGTGGTGTCTAGTGTGAAATCCAGTTTTCTAGCCACGTATTGAGTTGCTAAGATAGTTTTGGTATTTTGCTTAGTGCATCTAATAATATGCCTTGTGTTTCCTATAAAGGATAGTAATATGCATTTCTCTGAAAAAACATCATGTCTTCATAAATTGCTTCCCTTTGGGCTTGCTGTAGGTTTTGGGCTGTGCGGAATTCCTGAGAACCTTATAGACGCTTTGCTAAAGACTGGCGTGAAAGAACTAACTGCGGTCAGCAACAATGCAGGGTAAGTGAATTTTTGAACAATTAGTGCAAAAGAAATGCCAGTTTTTATATAATATTTTAATAGCTTATCAATGACATTAAATTTGCCTCCATTTATAAGAGAAGTATGTTCAGTCATCTAAAGATAGTGCTTAGCTGGGTGTGAGACACATGTTAATCCTAGCACTAAGGAGGCTGAGACAGGAGGATCAAGAATTCAAGATCAGATTGGTCTTTATACTATGTAATGAGACCCTCTCCCACAAACCCAAAAAGTAGGTAACGAGGTCAAGAGTGGAGGCTACTTTTTTTTACTTGTACTACTACAATTGAACTTAGGTCGTTTGCATGCTAGTTTCGGGGTCTACCCCTGCACTATATCCACACCCCTTTTTGGGGAGGGGTTCTTTTTGAGACAGGGTCTCCCTGTAGCCCTAGCTGGCCTGGATTCGCTGTGGAGACCAGGCTGGCCTCTAATTCACAGAGATCTGCCTGCCTCTGCCTCTGGACTGCTGGGATTAAAGGCCTGCCCGCACCCCATTTTTAAGTTTTTAATTTTGATACAAGGTCTTACTTAATTGCCCAGGCTAGCCTTGAGTTTTCTCTGTAGACTGATCAGATCTTCAACTTATGAGCCTCCTGCCTCAGCCTTCCAGATAGGTGGGATACAGGCCTGGGCCATAAGGCCCAGTGAAGTTGCTTTTATTCGTGTATTTTTGGTGTTGTGTTTCATAATTGTAAGCAAATGAGAGTTGCTTTACCTTATACAAATATGTCAAGTAAGATTTTATATCTTTAATATTCATTCATTTCCTTTTTTTAAAAATTATTTATGTAATAACCACATCAGCATTGACATATTCAATAACAGTTTTCTGAGCTAGGATGCATCTCTTACAAAAATTGACTGTATATTTTTGGGTTTACGGTTACACAATATTGTACTCAGTATAAACCCTATAAGACATAAAATTAAATGATGTTTTAACCTTTAAAAAAGATCTCCATTTCATTATTAAAATACAGAGTTTCATGCAGAAAACTTCATTTTTAATGCAATTGACATTAAGATGTTTGCACATGTGTTTCTAATCTCTATATATCAGATTATTACTAGTCACAGTCAGTTACTTTCTGAGCTCCTCGGCATCTGAGCATGGATATAAAGTCATCAGGTGGATTTCAATGATAATGTTTTTCACATGACTAATTATTAAGGAGCAAATTTTTAGGCTTTGAAGAATTATTTTTTTAATCATTATTTTTTTTTTCAATTTTTAATAACGACCTGATTAGATGCTTTTCACTACAGCTTTAACATATTCAGTAAGATACTCCAGAGCAACAGTACGTCTCTTTCACAACTGGATACAAGTTTCTAGGTTCACAGTTGAATTAATATAGTTATATATTATTGAACTCAGTATAAGCCCTGTAAGACATAAAATTGGATAAGTTTTTAACCTTTAAAAAAGATCTCCATTTCATTTTAGAATATATTGTTCCTTGCAGAAAGACTCATTGTTTTTGCTACTAACACTGAGATGTTGGCACTTCCATCTCTAATCTGTATGCATCTCATTATTACTAGTCATAATCAGTTGCACTTGGATCCTTGGCGCCTGTGTATGTCTATAAAGTCATCGGGCAGATTTCAATGGTATTGTTTATCACCTCTACTAATTAGCATGATGTAAATTTCCATGCTTCCTCCTCAAATACAATACATTTTTAAAAATTTGATTTTTTTTTTTTTTTGTGTGTGTGTGTATCACACAGAACATCCCTAACCATCTCATTCGACTATACACCCACTTCCCAGATAGCACCCTCCCATAGGCTCCCGCCCCCAACTAGAGCCCTTGTACTCTGATATCCCTGCTACTGTCTGCTGTGTTGTCGGCACCCCCAGCCATTGCCCACGACTTGCCCTTCTGGTGAATCTAGTCAGCCTATCTAGAGGTCTTTGTTTTAGGAGGGTCAGCTGTTCCTCATGTAGTGGTAATCAGTTGTCAATATTCCTTTAGATAAGATTGGGGTCTGCTGTTCACCAGTTCTATGCTGGGTTACTATCTGGGAGTCCCTTTGGCCACCCTGGCATTGTTGCTTATTATGTAGCCTTTAGGTATATATATGGACTCTTAAGAAATTATATTGGCCCCTTTAATCATTGGTTATACTTTCCTTTTGGGTGCTTAAGGCCATAGAGTTGGCCCTGATAAACCTGTTTATTTTTACTCTTAAGGTCCTTTGAGGATATGTTCCTTAGGGGTCACATGGGCTTGGGAGGAGTCCCTGGCTCCTTTTTTTTTTTTTTTAACCAGTTCCGCTTATGTGAAGATAAGTCAAAGGTCTTTCTCAACCACGGCTGGCTTCGCTTGGAAGCATGGAGGAAATGTTTCCTCTGTGTTTACCCTCCTCTTTGTAGACTGGACACTGGTTCAAGTCCATCTGGTGGGGTCTCCTCAGCCTCCCTGATCAAGTGGACAGGTGGCCAACCACCATTACAGGACATTTTGAAAGATACTCATAGTCTCCTGGAACTTGATGACCTAGGAGAGCAAGGAGCAAAAACTGTCCTTTATGTCCCTCTTACCAAATTAGTATAGGCCTCAAAGTATGTCTGTTAAACTTCCAAGTAAGTTAGTTCCACCAGTCTGGTACTTTTAATTACTGTGTGCC